ACACTGAAACTAGAGGTGCTTAAGCTCATAGTTTTCAATCCATAGCATATTGCAGTCTTGTATGTAAATATTAAAGGCTTGCCAGTTATGAAATGCAATATAAAACTATGATATATATATATATATTAAAACAGATAACCTTATATTTTCACTTTTATTCCCTATTATTCCAACCTATTTCCTATTGGTATCCAACCCTAGGCCAAAAGAATGCCACATAAATACTGTACTACTATGCTATACTTCTAACCCTTCTTTTTGAAATAGACACAGGGTTTCACTATGTAGCACAAAGGCTGGCCTTAAATTCTATATCATCTGCCATCCACCCAGCTAGTCGTTGAAATATAGATGTGTATATTTGAACTTGGTTTGAAGAGTAAATTATAGCAACTATAGTAAAAGTACAGCAACTTTATTTTACCCACTAACTCCAGTTACATTTCTGTTTTCTTTTGACATTTCTTTGATGTCTAACAAGGCTCATTACAAGTCTTCCCAAACCCCATTTTTTTGGTTTCTTGTCACTCCCATATGCTTGATTTGGGGCAACAGGCCCTTTACCTTATAAACCCTAACTTAGTAAATGGCTATTTAAGCATAAAGACTAAATAGTACATCCAACTTCATTTTGAGAAAATAATTTGCTAATTTTTGAGAAAATAATTTCTATTATTCATGCACGCAAGGAAAAATGCATTCACAGACATGCACACACAGGTCTACACAATCTTCACATGGTCAGCAATGAAATCTATATTATAAATTTGCAATGAATACTATAAATTACCTAACATTTATTTTGCTATCATTACATATTTGAGAAGAAATGAGTTGAGAAATTGAGTAACAAAAGCTTTGTAAGACCGACACTTGGCTTTTGTTGGCTTTCATCCTTTCTTCTTCTTCTTCTTCTTCCTCCCCTCCTCCTCTCCCTCCCCCTCCTCCTCCTCCTCCTCCTCCTCCTCCTCCTCCTCCTCCTCCTCCTCCTCCTCCTCCTCCTCCTCCTCCTCCTCCTCCTCCTCCTCCTCCTCCTCCTCCTCCTCCTCCTCCTCCTCCTCCTCCTCCTCCTCCTCCTCCTCCGTAATAATCAAATTTGAATGCAACCTGTCAGCTAGAGTGCTCCACATTGTCTTTCATGGAAACAAATTAAAGACTTGTATTGCACTATATGCTTTAGAATATAATGCATCATTATTTATTTTGTAATAGTTTTTCATCTCATCATATTAACATATTTCAATTATAGAACATAATGGATTTCATTTCAATATTTTCCTACATAATTACCTACATACAGTGTATGTTGATTATATTCTCAACTCGATTTTTCTATCCCCAATGCCTCTAACGTTATTATTTTTCTCTATAATTTAACTGATAGGATTCATTATGACATTTTCACATGTTCATATGTTGTACCTTGATTCTAGGCACCCACCACTCTCCCTTTCCCCAGCTTCTCTTCTTGCCTTTATCATTAAATGTGCTTTTTATACTTTTTTTCTGAGTCTCTGAAGTTTCTTTTTTAAACATATATTTTATTGTTATTGTAAAAGTTTATGTACAGAAGAATTAAAGTTACTTAAGTCAGAAAATGAGCACATTTCTTTTGGAACAGTGTCACCTCTTCCCATGTTTTCTCCCAGTTTTTCCCTCCACTTCCCCATAAGTTGTATGTTTCAACATAGTGTCTAGTGAATATCACTGCTGCATTTGTACATACTTTGTATGCTTACTCTTACCCTCCCCCAAACAGAAAAAAACTTACATACAAGACAGAAGTAACAGAAAACAAAAACAGCGACAAAGGAGAAAACAAACAAAAAAAAACAAAATAACACCAAAAAATAACTCATTTCCATTCTTGGAGATTATTTTGATAAACATCAAAGGCACATAGCATAAGAATATCCTCCTTTGGTTTCACTGAAGGAATGTTTAGAGTGCTGTATACTTTATCATGACCAAGTGTAATTTCTTTTGTCTTTTATTATCTAGTATGTTTACTTGTAGATTTATAGGCATACTCTAGTTACCATAAATGAGGGAAAACATGCAACCTATGTTGCATGACAAGAATATGCTTGTGGACCAATGGAATTGAAAAGAAGACCCAGAAATAAATCCATAGACCTATAAACACTTCATATTTGATAAGAGAGCCAAAAGTACAGGACAGAAGAAAAGCAAGCTTTTCAACAAATGGTGCTTTGCAGAAGTGGCTACCTACATGCAGAAAACTGAAGCTAGCTATTCTTATCTCCAATTTAACACCAGAAAGCCAGAAGTGGTGCTGTGGCTCAAGTGGTAGAGTGCTCACCTTGAGCTGACCTGCTGAGGGATGGCACCCAAGGCCAGAGTTAAAGCCCTACAACAGACAAAAACAAAAATTACCAATGACATAGAGAAATTGCCATAAGTAATTTCATGTAAATATTATCAGTGAATTATCACACAGATGAAATTTATGATTTAACGGTTTATTATGGTTTTATTTTCATTTAAATGATATAAAAGTAACATTGTTCTACAGAATTATAAACTTTGTGTCATGCTATTGGACTGGGGTTATATAATCTTTAAAATCCTGCTAAAATGTTATCTTAAAATTCTGATATTTTGTAGTCGCTATGTGTGTTGTAGAGTTCAAAATACCTTTTTATAGGTATATATGTTTGCAGTTTTTATGGAAATATACGATGACATTGGTACAGCTGGGCTTGTTTAACTTCATCCTTCTGCCTAATATTTCACAAAGATACAACAAGGCTTTTGTTTTTGTGTTTTTTTTAACTCTTTGCATAAGCGGGTGAATCAGCTCAGCAAGGATTTTGCTTAGGTCTTTTCTTCTTCTAACGATGTGTTCCATATCTTTCTTGGAAAGAAAGCCTGTATTTCAGTCATGATATTGGTATTCTTTTTGATAAAGCTAAACAATTATGTGGCTGTAAGGGAAAGAATATCTCAGCCTTTTCATTTTCTTTTTATTCATCTTTCTTTTGTGTGTTTTGTTTTAACAATTCACTTTAAGGAAAGATTAATAGTCTGCTTTACTTTTACCATGTAAGGTCTCTGAATCAACTGCGAGATTGGAATACATACAATGAAATTAGTTATATTATATTATAAATGAATAAAATGAGGTTAGAAAGATTCACACTAGACTTCACATTAGACTTCACACTAGACTTCATGCAATTGAGCATGGAGGCACTGTATATCTGAATGATATTGTGAAATTTATCTCAATGGTAAATCCTCCAAAAGGCATTAGGAGTAAAGATTAAAAGTAATGCTCCAATTTTTAAAGAATGTCCTTTGGAAAACTATGATTATATTAGTTATCTTGCTATGTTTGTAATTATTTACATAACCCAAGCCTCAACAATCAATAACCTCAATAAAATCATCAAGCTTGTTATATGTTAATTTCTCTGTTATCTTCTAATGCCCTTTCCTTCTCCCAGTTTTAGTTTATGGTCAAAGACACACTATCAATTCTCCTGCGCTCTCTTGCTTTCTTTAACTCAAACAGTAAAATCATGCCCTGTCAAATCCAGATATCCAGCTGCTCCTTATCTGCAACCATAAAACTTGTCGAGAGGGAAGAGAAGACAACATGTTGGAAATGAAATTTACAAATTGGGGGAGGGGTATTGGAGGGATTGAAAGAGAAACGAGGGAGAGGGTAACAATGTTTGACTAGAAGTGAACTCACTACCTTATGTATGTAACTGTAACCCCTCTGTATGTCACCTTGACAATAAAATTAAATTTAAAAACAACAAGAAGAAAACAACACAAGTTCATTGGCTGAACAATAAATGTAAAACATGGACTTAAAGAGGAAACTGTATTCATGTTAACGGTGATTTCATATCTTAGCACTTTCAGCTAGTTAATATCCACCCATTTTTCTCTGAACTCCATACTTCATTTTCCTAACCTGCACCCTGGAACTTTTGTCTCCTACCAATGAAGACTATTTGAAGAAATTTCAGATTTCTACCTCCAAATACAGTCAAATATATTGATTGTATAATCTCTCTTATCTAATCATTGATAAATCCTAGAATACTAATGGCGTGCCAGTAGCCCTCAAATGTCCTGTCGGTTGAAATTAAATTCTATAATTATGGTTGGGGTAAAATCTTTTTTTTTTTTTTCTGAAAATCCAGTTTTATTTTCCATGTTGTGGACAGATCCAGTTTAAGTGTGATCAGTTCTTCTGTATGTGTAATAATTTATCAAAATAAAATTTCCCACAATATTCTTTTCCATCAATTCTGAAAATCCTAACCTAACAACATATCCAAATAAAACTCTTGAAACTCACCTCTTAAAATCTGGAAGTTTGGCGAGTCTCTCCTGTAACATTTATTGAACTATAAATGGCTAAAGAGCAATTTATATTTTAAAAGGTGACTAATAAAACAGCTAAGTTCAGGAAATTAATGTCTTAAAGTGTACTTTGCTCCCATTTTAGCCAACATGCTATATTTTTCCTTTTTTTGTTTTTTTTTTCTTTTTTCTTTTGTTTTCGTCTTGTTTCAGAGAAAAGTGGAGTGAAAAGGCGCACGACGCACAATGTGGACTTGAAAATTTCCGTACGAAAAAATAACGGCTCTGCAAACAAACCTGTAAGCTGCCGTTTTCCTTAAGACCTGGACATTTTAAGACAGAAGCTTTGCAAAACATTACACAATTTTTTATTATTAAATGAGAAAAATCTCATTTGTTACATAGTCACATTGCTAGTCAGAGAAATGCTGCAATGATGAAGAAAGTCAATGTTGGATCAACCAAAGTCCTCATTTCTACAACATTCATTTACAAAGAAATAATGTTCAACATAGCCCAACACAACATTCTTGGTTTTCTTCATAATGAAGTCCCCCCAAAAAAATCATCTTCTAATGGGGTATTTCACTACATAAATTATAGTTCTTCATTTTTACAATTCACCCCAAACTGCATGAGAGATGTACCATGCTAAAATTTCTAAAGCTGTTAGGAAGTCCTTCACACATCGTCATCATCTGATGTGTCACTGCTACTTGTCTCTGTGTCATCATTCTCAATTGTGGGTTTGAAAGTGCTGTTTTTCCAAGGTCCAAACTTGAAGTCACAGATCAGGCCATTTTTCAAAATACCATTTTTTCTCAGACCATTTTTCTGTAACTGCTCACTAATAACTTGGAATTCTCTCATTTCATCCTCAGTTAAAGGAGCACAAGTTTCATCATTTTCACTGTCTTCCTGCCAGCCCATCTCTTTTAACAATCTGTGTTCTGCCTCAAGTGAACTGGAAAGAACGTCAGTTTGTGGGTAGGTTGAAGACCGAATTATTTGTTGGGAAATAACTGAGGCATTGCCATTCTCTTGAGGAATTTCATTTTCATCGAAGTTTCTGTTTATATCTCTTTCTTGGTGAGTACTATTGCTGTTATGCAAATTAAATGAGTCCTCATCCTTCTCTGAGCCAGCCCGGCTTTCATCTTCATGTTCCTCTTCCACTCGGTCTCTTTTCAATGCTTTCAAAAATTCACTCTTCTTATCAGTGCGCATTCTTGTCAGTTTGGTTAGCCGAGGCTGCTGATTAAGTTTGTCAACAGGTGAAGAGGAATTTGAGCGATTACACTCTTTCATTGAATTTGTTGATGGACTAAAATTCTTCCCAGTTGATTTAAAAGCATTGAAGTTACCAACACTATATGTTGATTCATGAGGAAAAGAAGTCCCAACTTTATTTTCTTTAGTTTGGCTTTTGCATTGTGTAGGTTTTGTAGGTGGAGCAGCAGGTTTAGGGACTAAGCCTTTATAAACACTTGGACCAGTTCCATTCTTAACTGGCTGTGACTGAAGATTTCCTGCTACTGGGAATCCAGATAGCTGTAAGTCTTTTGTATTACCTTTCTTAATAACCAGCATCCTTGGAGCTCTAGATTTAGGATTCGGAGGGTACTCCCATACACCTGCAGCTAAAGATTTATTCTGATTTGGTTCTCTCTCATATTCAGGATTTAAAGATGGAAAATCCTCAGCCTCAAACTGTTTGCGTTCTCTTTTGTCTTCTTTCCTCCCAGTTTCATTGTCAGATATGTTGTTTTCATGTAGTCCTTGGCTTTTTCCAGAATGGAAAATACTGTTTCGAGAACGAGAGTTTCCACCATGGTATCCCCCTCGATGATTTATGTTTTCAGTACCATTTCTGCCATGTGAACGCCATCCATTTTTTTCTTTCCTTCCAAAATTACCTCCATTAGGACGTCCAATACCAGAATCAAAGGCATCAGAAGAGTTGTGTCTTCGACGATTCACATCGTAACGATTTTCTGTCCATGAAAAATTTTCAGAATGTTTCTCAAAATTCAACGATGAAAATTCCAACAGGACTGCACAGGAAGGTGTTGTTTTCTCTATTATCTTTATGTTTTCCAGTTTGTTTTTTGATTTTGTATCCTCTGAAATATCCAAGTTCTTTGAAGATACTTAACCTATGACTATTTGACATAGAGTTTTTCAAGTCAGCTACCCATACTTCTGTTTTAAAGTTTTCATATGGCTATCTCCAGAATTAGCCAAGTTCCTTGGGTTTAAGAACAAAGTCTTCTTTATTATTCCATGTACTTGTCACTGTTGTACTTATCCACTCCAGATGAAAATATCCAACTTATAAGCCAAGAAGTACAAATAAAAAAGAAAATTTCACATCTGAGGAATATTTCTCAACACCAGCATATACAAATAGCTATCTCAACACTACCATGCTGGTGCAAAAGTGTAACATCTTAAATTTCCACGCAAATAAAAGATAGAAAGAAAAAAACTCTGTATTCTTTCAATGTCTTCATTTAGAAAAGTTGTCCCATTGTGACATGAACAGGGCTAAGGTCAAAAATTCCTAAAACTTTCAATAAAGGTAAAAATAAACTGCCATGAAACTTCAGCAATAAACAGTAATTTGAAAATGCTGAATCTACTCAGTATACACATCAAACATCTTACAGTCTGGGCTGAAGAACAGTTAACGGGGGGGGGGGGAAGGGGGATGGGGGGGAGACAAAAAAATACCACCAGCTGAAAAACTTTAACCGGTTATATAATCCATGTGAACCAAAATAATGAAGAAATGACTGGGTCTCTTTAGCTTGTTGAATTTGTTCACTACTATCAATTCACTTCAGAGATGGTTCTTGCCAATTTTTATTAAACTTCTGGGGCAAAATTATCCAAAAACATTGTAATTCCAAAATGGCCACTTGAAATATCCGGGGCCTTTTACACAAAACCTAGAAGATGATCTTCTTATCTGAATAATTCAATCACCAGAGAGACGCTCCGTCCGAATTCGGACTCTCTAACAGGCCGGAGAGGTGGGGAGAGGCGCGGAGCGGAGCCAGGACGCTTCGGAGCTTCACCGGAGGGCCAGACCTCCCCGCCCCCGGGGGCAGCGAGGGGACGGACCGGGAGCAGGTTCCCATTTCCTCCAATTAAGAAAACAGGTTTCTCCAAAACTGAGGGTGTGGGAGGAACCGGGCCCGACTCGTAAACCACACGGGAAGAATGGCTGTCTCCCCGAAAGGAAGAAACAAGTCTCCTCAGACCGCCGCCCCCCCACCCCCGGCCAGGAGGGACGAGGCGGTCCTCGCCGCGACCCGCGGCGGCACGGGCGGGGAGAGCGGGAGCGCCGGCCGCCGAGGAAGCAACCGAAGGCCCCAAGTCGGCCTCGACTCCCCTCAGCCCGGGCTGGGGGGGGGGGGGGGGGGAAGGCACGGGCGGCGGGCGCGTGCGAGAGGCCTGCGAGAGGAAGCCCGAGCCTGGGAGGGCGCCCGGCTCGCTCCCGGCCTCCGCCAGACACCCCCCCCCCCCACGGCCGCCGGGGCGCAGCCGCCCGCGCCCTCCCCGCAACCGCCACCTCCGCCCCGCCGGGCCGAGTCCACACCGAGGGCGGCCTCCCCGCGCCGCCCGCCCCTCCGCTCCGAGCGCCCCGCACCCCCCCCCCCCCACCCCCCCGCCGCCGGCGGACAGCCTCGCACCTCGCTGGGGTAAAATCTTCTATATTTCTGTTTTATAAAATCTGATTGATAATTTACATTTTTTAAAAGTATGATTATGGCAAGAACACAAAGATATTTTCATTAACATTAAATCTCTGTGATATGCTGAATAAAATACACTGTAAGTCAGCATAAATATACTGAAATTCCTCACATTTGAAAACATAAGACTTTTTCTTGCCTTGATCCTATTTTTGTTATCAACAAACATTCTGCACTTTAGTTTCCGTAGGCAGCAAATATCTGGAAGTATTAGTTAAAACAGCTTTGAAATTCCATGGGCTGTCCTTAAACCATGCTGATCATGTATTTATCCTCACTCTAGCAAAGAATGCCATTTTTGTTGTCAATAGTTCTGCCTTTCTAAACCTGTCTGACTCATCACACATTTTACATTACCTTTCATTTTGCATTAGCTTTCAGAATCATATACTTAAGAATTTTCCTCCTTGGAAGTGGCACTGTGGCTCAAGTGGTAGAGCGCTGGCCTTGAGCGGAAGAGCACAGGGACAGCACCCAAGCCCAGAGTTCAAGCCCCACAACTGACAAAAAAAATATTTTCGCCTTAATATACTTTCTCTAAGGTCTACTTTTCAGCTTTGCTTTCCTGACCTTCTTTATTTCTTTCTTTCACCTCTATTGTGATAATGTTGATTTAAGACAAAAATCTCATGCACAATCTTCTTCATTATAGTGATGTGTATTTATGCAAAAATATCTCAGGGATTTATGAGTAAGAAACACAATCCCTAGTACAGTTATGTCTCCTAAAACTCAAGACTTAGAACTTCAACTGTATATTCAACTTTCCTAGTGAAGTATCTAATAATTATTTCATATTATACATGCCTGAGGTGAAACTCTCACACCTACTCCACACACCATCCTCTCAAACTCATTGATAACATTTTATTTTTCTACATCTTAAGGCATAAATAGTATGTGAGGTCAAAAGTGATTTTTTTCCTTTGCATCACACATTTGGAAATGAGACTGGGTCTGCCTTTAAAAATGTCTGATCTTCTCACCTGTCCTCATTCTGGCCTGAGCCACCATTTTGCTTACACAAATCACTGTGATGAAGCCTCACAATTGCTGTACTCCACCTTCGCCTCTCTCTACTCTTCTGGAAGCTACAGTGATTACTCAAATCTTTGTGTGAAATTCATTGCTTCTTTGCTCAAAACCCAGTGCAAAGTTCCCATCTAGCTAAGAGTAAAATCAGTATCTGTAAATTGAACATGCATCCATTTGTGTTTTAGTATTTGTTTCTCTGAAAGTTGAAGTTCGTTCTGTACTTCCCATGGCTACCTCCAGTAGAATCAAACTGTGATAGGGCTGGAGGGGCATTTCTCATGTCTTCCTGGATCGTGCCTGTCACCTTTTACCATTTGGTCACTTGTGACTCTGGTCGTTCTGCCTAGCTACTCTTTCTCTATATATGGTTATGGCAGATGGTTTTACCACTAAGCATTAGCCCAGATGGGCCCTTTGTAGAGAAGTCCTAGCCTTTATAAGTGATTGCACATTTTTATCCCCATATTTTATTAATGTTTCTTCTTGAAGTCTGAAAATAGTGTCTGAAGAATGTGTCACTATTTTAAAGGGTTACTTGTCTTTGGGTTGTGGATGTTTACAATGTGTTTCCTTAAGATATTTTCTTGTTCTAAAAGAAAGCTTACTATCTATGCGCCTTATATGAGACCCATTGCCTTTTTCATAGGATATTTTTTGTATGAGTGTCACTATGGTTCTTACCTGGTGCATGTTCAGTTATATTACCTACCAAATGTACACCTAACTGATGCCTAACTGGGAATAAAGTAAAGGTCAGGAGTGATGATCAAGTGAAAGACAGAAGAGGAGGTCTAACAACAAAACACAAAAAGATAATCTGTGTGTGTGTGTGTGTGTGTGTGTGTGTGTGTGTGTGTGTATACATATGTGTGTGTGTTATGTCAATAAATTTATTATCTTTCTGAAAAATTCTTCTTAGGATATTGTATGATTTAGGTCTTAGCAGTCTGCTTCTGAGCTCTGAGGAAGTTGACCTTCTCTTGAGCTTCTCAGTCTTCTAAGCAATGGACAACTGGGGATGATTCTACCTCTCTTATCTGACCTCTTTCTTGGGCTTTTTCTCATAGATTGGATTCCCTCGCAAGTGGTATGATTTCTCTTTACTCTTCTCCATCATGTCTTCAATTATGTTGTTCTTTTATGTATGGATAGAAGTGCTTCTTATAAGAATCTTCATCCTGTTACCTACTATGCGCTTCCTATACACTGCATGGTAATGCTTGCTTTGTCTATTCTATGAAGAATAGACAGACCTCCCTTTGCAGCTCCTCAGAACCCTAACACTTTATTGCCAGTTGTAGTTCTGGCCATGCATCGAAATGGCCAGTGAAGGCATCGGGTTTAACATCCATGATTTCCACATTGTATTCATCTCCAGTCACATCCATTTGGTCTTCTAAGAGCTTGTTCATGCCAAGTCAATCAAGGAGCCTGTGCACCATCACCAGACCAGTACAACAGGATGCAGCTTAATTGTTAAGGCAAATTTTTACACCATTCTTGGGTAGTTTGTGTGTGTATGCCATGCAGATGATCATATCTACTTGTATACACAGTTAAGCAATCAGAGAAATAATTTCTCTGTTAGTTATATGAACTATTCCCCGATATTTGGGCATGTTGTACTTGTGTTTGTCATGGATCCCCAAGCGTTTCCTAGCTTTTTGTAAATTTTTATTGAAATTTTCAACATTATTATCTGCAAAAAAATTGCTTTCATTTGGCCGAAGTTAAAGTTATATAAGAATAGATAACACTGACAGAAATGCTTTTTCATTTGCTCATTCCTTTTTGCATTTTTAGAAATTGACTTTTATTTTATTTTACTTGATTGATCATGGGGCTTGAATTCTGGGCCTGGGCACTGGCCCTCAGCTTTCAGCTCAAGGCCATCACTCTACCATTTAAGCCACAGCACTATGGTTTTTGGAGAAAGAGTCTCATGGACTTTGCAGCCTAGGCTGGCTTTGAACCGCAATCCTCAGATCTGAGCCTCCTGAGTTGCTAGGATTACAGGCATGAGCCACCACCTCCCAGCAAGTTAACTTATTTTATAGGAAGATAAAATTGGGTTCAATGTGATACAAAATAGCAGTATGCTTTTGAGGATTACTGAATTCTTTACCCATGTGCTCTTCCAAACAAGTCCTTTCTAATTGTTTCAGTTACCAATGGTGTAGGTATTTTCCTTTTTGGAAGGAAATTCTTCTCCTGACTTATCTAATGTTATAACTTTTCTGCTTACAAAAAGTTTAGATAATGATTTTGGCAAAAAGTAGCATTGATTTAAATGCTACATCAAGCAAACACTACTACCATGTGAAATTTCCTTTTGTGTCAAATTAGAAATAAAAAGACTGTATTTTAATAGATTTTTGGACTTATCCTGCACATTTAAGGTTGACAAAATTTAAGGTTTACAAATTCTTGCACATGCTAAAAATCTATTTTTCCCATTATCTCCTATATTTGTAACTTTATATGTACTTAATAATGGCTTTCATTATATGTACAATGTGTCTAAGCTGACAATAGAACTGTTAGAACCCAATAGTACACCTAGCAGACTCATTGCTTTCTGAAATTCTATATGTGGAATGTTTGTTAAAGACATTGGTGATCAGCTGAGCTATTCCATTGATGTGGAAAACTTTTTTTCTGTTTTGAAAAATTATTCAAGGTTTTGATTTATATTAATTTTTTTCTCCAAAGGAAAAATATACATTCATTGGAGATCAATCTATTTCTTATTTTTCCTAGCTTTTCCATTTTTTCACAATCTTTTACTCATTTGTAAGAGCTTAGAATTTCAATTATTCCATGTGACCTTGAAAGGTTTTTCTTTCTGCTGTTTTTCTTGTATTATCGTGACTGATTTAAACAAAAAAGTGTTCTGTGAAAGAGATAATTTTTTGTTTTTGTTGTTTTTGTTTTTCTGACATATTCGGTTCCTTTTGGAAAGAGTTTGATAGCATCCTTTGGAATTTGTTGAGAGTACATCAGAGACTTCACATCTGATGAGGAATTATCTCACTGCCAAGATCAGAGTACACACATAGCTTCAATTGATGCATTTCATCTTTCACTTAAAGGGAGCTAAATATCAAAAACATTTACACATGCACTTGGAGGTACTTTTGAACTACTAAGCTTTATCACATATGCACCATATCTGGCTCTTTACAGGATTTCTTCCTAACCTGCCCCTGTGTTGTCCAGCAGAAAGGAATAGTCACAAATATATTGGCAACAGCTTTAGAGTTGCAGAAAGCAGGGAATTAGCATCTGCAAGGAGAAGATTCCTCATGCATCATACTGAGATTTTTCACATATTTCTGTTACTACTT